GGTCGTGTAGGCCAACCCCATACCTGAGCCAGCAGCCTCCCCATCCCACCCGCCCCATGCAATCCGGCCTCTCAGCCCCACGTAAGACTACTGCCAGCCCCAACACAAGACACGCCGAGGTGTAGGCAAGAGGTGGTCCAGCTGGAACTGAAGAAGGTCCCGGTCTTCTCACAGCTCATGGGGCTAGCTGTAGCGCTAACTGGCACTGCCTTTCTTTCCGCAGCCAACCCAGAGATAGGGAGGGCATAGATACCACGGCACAGGGTGACACAACTGCCCACCGTAAGGACAGGCTCCCAAGGATGTCATATCATACTGTACCTCCAAACCCTAGACACAAGCCTGTTTCGCCCGTGGCATTGCCAAAGACATTTGCATGCAGGTGTGGATGGACCCAGGAGTCTGCACCATGATTTATGCGGTACATCTAGCTGCTCTTTTACAGAAAAGTAACTTAAATGCAACTAAACAGCAACAGCAGAGAAGGAATTGAGAACCATGAATTTCTTACTTCCAATCATATGGTCATAGCATTGAGGCAGGATGCCTTAGGCTGCTTCTGAGTCTCTATTCTGAGCAAGTGTCTGTGTACAAGAAGGTGGCATGAGTGGGTACCTTCGAAATGCCTTTGAAACCATCACCTCACTGAAACACATTAGGTAATAAGTCTTCAAAATATCACATGTAAAATTCGACAGAATTTGTGCCAGTAGGAAAGCTGCAGTATTTTAGTTTGTCTTATATAACGGTCTCAATTTCTAATCCTGCTTTAGGAAAGAATTTACCCTAAGAAAAAAATTCAAAACCATTGCAATATTTCCCTAATTTCATGCTTTGAGTGGCACTACCGGCAAAGCAATTTGATACGTTGCCTGACCCATCAGTCATGTCATACAAGTCAGCCAAATCCATTTGCTTCCTAGTCAATCTCTTGAAATAAGATCTCGAGTCTCACACACACACGGTTAAGGCACCAAATCCTTATTTTCCTTATGAGAATGTCTTTCAGTTTTTGGCATCTTTTTACAAGCCAGGCTAAAATGAACTAAACTGCAACTGCAACAGAAAAATATTCCTTTTCCGATCTGGTGTGATCAGGACCTATAAATTCCTGGAAATTCTTTCTTAAGGAATAATAAAATATTAAAATGTCATATAACCAATTTCTATTAACTTTAGGGAAAATGCATTGATTCTACATTTTTCCCAGCTTTCTTCAAAGTCTTGTGAACTGAAGACTTTAACATTGCCATTTAAATAAGATCATGCCATTAGTTTCAAGCAGAACTTCCCCTTAAAATTAATGGAAAGTAGTTTTTAAAAGAAAAAATAAAAAACACTGTTTGATCCAGAATTTAGGAAAAAGAGATTAAAAGGTCTTAATTCGTTCAAGCCAGAATTTTGTTAACACTTTTATCATCCAAAGAAAGTTGTTCCATGCAAAATAATATCTCACCAATAAAAGAGAACAAGTAAAGATTCTTAAAGAAACAGAACAAAGACAGATTGAAGAATTTCAGTTATTTCTGGAAAAGGTGGATTTCATATATTGCAAGGTTGCCTCTTGAAACTTTTCTCCCCTCAACAGTAAAGTCTACAATATACTACCTTTATGAAATAACTAAAGGACAAAAAGAAATGTGCTAAGCACTGGTGTTCTCAGTACAGTCAATATTTCTCATGATCAGGGTGCCATTATGGCTGATAAAGTAACTGTCCTCAAGAGAAAAGAAAAAAAGTCCAAGATACAGAAGTTTCAGTGCTGCCGGCAGAAATGTTGTCAAGGAAAAAGAAATGGATAAGCCTGTAGAGCTCATCCAAAAAAGGCAATATTCAGCCAACAGTCGAAAGTGAAATTTCAACTTCTGCAGAAATGGGAACTAAAAAATACCCAAGTAACAATGCAAATATCCAAGTAACTACAGGTGGGTCTCTTGGGATCAACGGCAGATCCAGAGGGTGTCTTTTTTGCCTCTTCCAGCACTGCCTCCTAACCCTCTCCCTCTTTCTCCCTCCTTTCTGCCTTTTGTATTCACTTTTTTCTTTCTTATACACTATTTTGCAGATGTCCTTTCACAGCACCTGATCAAGTGAGCTTCCATCAACAAAAAGATTGTGGTTTATATTAAAAATTGTGTTTTATATAACCTATTTTTGGATAGTCTACCAGGTGCAAGTCTACACTGCCTTATACTTGACTTCAGACTAGCAAGGCTAACTATGTCTCTCTGCAAATGGATCTCACACACCCTCCACATACATCATATTTGATAAAGAATCACATTTCTATGATGGAAAACTGAGTTCTTTATCCAATGGTTATTGTAACAGGGACTCATGCAGGAGCTCTGTTACTTAGAGTCAGGCAGGATTGACCCGACAATGAACTCTGTCAGGTGGCAGACATTACAAACCCGGGAAAGGTTCACGTGATTAGCCCATAAAAACTGGGGGGATAAAAGACGGCGGCTGGGTATTAATTTTGCCTTTGGGCACAAGAAGACAAACAAGGAATGACAGAGACTTTAGAGGGGAAAGAAGAAGCCAGACCTGCAATCCAGAAGAACGCCAGGAGTGCAGGACTCCAGGAAGGGCAGCAGGTCAGTCTTAGAGGGAGATTGCCTCTTGGAGAATCTCAGCTGCACTGGTGAGTGCAGGAAAATCCTGAGGCACCGGGAGGTAGATGCCGGGAACTGAGAGAGAGAGAAAGAGAGGGATAGTGCCCTCGGATAAGGTGCAGGGTGGGGGTAGGAGCTAACCCCAAGCCCTGACCCCACTGGGACATTTAAACCTAAAAATGGAGAGACTGGCTGGGAGAGAGCAGCTGGAGATCACTCCCAGCAAAAAACGCCAGCGGAGACAGAGATGTGCAGGAAGCCCATACCACTAATGAGGTAATTAGTGGCAGAAATTGTTTGCAAAGTAGCTGAAAAGTACTCATTTGTAACACAGGCTTCCCTCACCAACCAAGTAATTGGCGAGATTGCTGTAGCTGTATCACATTTATTTTGGAAATAAACTAGCACTATGAGCTTTAACACCGGGGTGGCATTTATCTATCCTAAACATCAAAGAACGCTGATCTCTTTTCTTTTCTTCACATCTAAGTCGTGGCAGGTGAGTACAGAGGGGAGATGAAGATAAAAGTCCAGAACCCTCTCACAAAGTGGTGCATTGGCTGGGAATAGTTTTCAGACACTTCCAGGCAGGATGGAGTCCATGGATACACAAGGTCCCACTGACTGGCAGCAGGCTCATAGTATTACCCTGTGACTCCTATAGGGACAACAAGCCCAGATGGCAGAAATGGTGCAAATGAGGACTCAAGAGGCAGATGCAAGGATCCGGCTTTTCTCCAGTCAACAAGATTTATGCGAGAAAATTGAGGCACAACAGATGTCACTGGGGAGAGAGGGAGACAAAACCTGGTTGCCTCATATGTCTCCAGATGATGACGTAGAAGCATACCTAGAAGCCTTTAGAAGAATGGCTACAGCTGCAAAATGGGACCCAGGAAGCTGGGCAGCTCAGATCAGACCTCTTCTTATTGGACCAGCACAAGCAGCTTACTGTGCCCTCAACAGGACAGAGGCTAGAGATTACCAGAAGGTAAAGGTGGCAATATTATATTGATTAGAGATTTCCTCTGAGACTTATTGCCAGAAATTTCAGGCTAAGAAGGGCCCTGAAGCGACTCGACCCCATCTACTGGCCCAGATGCTAATAGATCTGGCAGAAAGATGGTTGCAGCCTGAGACACGTACTCTCTCAGAAGTGATGGACATTATAGTGCTAGAGCAATTCCTTATTGATCTTAGCAATAGTTCCCAGTGACGGGTATGATACCATCAACCTAAGACTGTAGAAGAAGCTCTACAACTTGCTGAAGATTATGCTGCAGCAGAAGGAGAGGACGAAGCCCCTAGGAGAGACTGCTCGGGAGGTCCAACATCTGGGACCTGGCAAGGAACATCTAACCAGTCACACCATGGAGAGAATACTCAGAATTTGGAACAAGAACTTCGAACCTGGGATTCAAGAGAAGTAACATGCTACACATGTGGGGGAAAAGGGCAC